CATCACTTTTCAAGTCCTTTCTAGTCAGTGTAAGAAATTTAAAAGGTACAATGAATTTGGTCCACCCTTTTAAAAAAGGAAAATCCCGATTTCCAAAACTCTTTCCAAGCTGTATTTCTGGAGGATCTAGTCTGAAAATTATGCAAATGAAGCTGGCTTTAAATTCTGTCCACTCACAACTGTCCAACACTGGGGTCACCCAGTCAGTTCATTCTCTTGGCTGCTTTAAGCATCATTTGACTGAGATTAAAAAAACAAAAACAAAAACAAAACCACCAGGCAGGACTCTCAGAATCATCTAGTCCTTGGCGTCTCTGCCCACCTTCCACCCCTCAGGCTCCCCTCCCACCAGTTATTTGCATTTATATCTCCAAGCACAGGAACTGGCCTTTGGCTCCTGCACCATGAAGACAGGACTCTCTGTGGCCAGGAGTGGACCTGCCACTCAACAGCAAGAGAGGAGAGCCGTTTTGTAGACAGCAGCATCCTAACCCATAGCCCTGGGGTCAGTTACTAGCCACTCTGTCCTCCAACTTTTCATTTTGCTAGCTGGGGTTCAGTGGCTTCATCTGAGGGCTCCACACAATGGTGTCAATATCCAAAGCTGCAGGGCTGCCTAGGCATTCACATCTCCAGCAGACACTTCTTGGACATGAAAGGGCTTGCCCTGCAGCCCTCACCCGGGAGTTCTCTTTCCACTGTTCCCGCAGTGTGTCTGTAGGCAACTGGCAACAGCTTCACTAGGCTGCTTATGGGGCAAAGTTTACTGGGCACCAAATGAATGCAAGCGCTAGACTTACCCTTACCCTAGCCCCAGAGCCGGCTATCTGTGCAGAAAGTAGTAGTTTATAGCTCTGCTTAAAATTATGATACCTGCCTGGAGCCTTCCCACAAGTGGGGGAGTCAAGCTAACACACACACACACACACACACATACACACACACACACACCTCTTATGCGGCGCCTAGAGTCAAGCTCTCACACACACACACATACACACACAGGCACGCACGCACACCTCTTATGCAGCGCCTAAACCGTCATTGCATCTCTTTCTGGGTTTGTCTGAACCCAGACCTGTCTCCCACAACCAATTAACACCTCTTATCTGATCATCCAGTCCAGACGAAAGGTTGAATTGACCGCGTCTGCCCGTGTCCATGCAATGGGGGAAATCCAAAGAAAGGTCAAAGCTTCGCTAGCGGTGGGGTAGCGAGGGATGGGGGTTGTTGGTCATAAAGTCTGGGATATTTTGGTCCTAAATGGTGTGTGCCGAAGGCGGGGCCATTCGGGCTGCCGCTTTCTGAAGAAACCTGTTGTCAGGCTTAGGAGATTTCCGAAGCAAGACCCAGTCCCCTGCGGACCACGATTAACTCCAGCAAAAAGGAGTTTCGAGGCCAGGCGTTAAACTGGAAAGGCTAGCGCCAGGGGGCTCTCCTCTGCGAGAAACCGAAAGGAAGGGAGGCGGAGGGAGCGAGGAGGGCGGGCGGGCGGCCGGCGGAGAGCGGCAGCCACGGAGCGTCTACCCCTCCCCTTCCAAAAGAAATTCAACCCAAGCCGCAGAAACGGCATTACGGTAGGGCCGGATTCCTTCCACACGGCTGGGAAAGCTGATTCCCACCCTCACTCCCAGCTCCCAGCCCCGGATTCCCAGAGGACAGGCCGACTCATTCCACCACTACCCCTTTCGGCTCCCGGACGCTAGTTTGGCGGCTGCCGCGACCGAGCCGTCGAGCCGTCGGGCTCCTGGGACCCGACGGGAAAGACTGCAGGACAGCCAGCCCCAGGCGAAGCGTGGGGGCAGCCGTTTAATCACAGATCGCCTCGCCTCCATTAACTTGTGCTGATATTAAAAAGAAATCAATCACTGAACTGCACCGCGGCGAGTATTTCTTTTTCTCACGTGGAAAGCAAAGAGCGAAGTGGCGGG